ACTAATCATCTGTAGAAATTTGGCTGACGCGCGCTGGGTTTGAGCTGGGATTCGATCCAGAGACCATATGCGCGGCAGTGGCCCCTCCTGTCACCACACCATCTCCGCTCGAATGAGCATTTTGAACAGTTCAAATACCATTCAACAAATACACATTTATCACATCTCATTCGTGGAACAAGGCAATGTCCGGTTGGGAACGCACTTGAAAAGAATTGCAAGCCGCACTTTGTAGAAGTGCTGCTCCCCTGCCTACAGGCTGCGCCCACCGGCTGCTTCTCCTCTAACGAATTTTCGCTGGTTTTTATGCTCGAAAGCTGCGTCATCATAGGAGTGTTCTACTACCACTTCCGCATCAAACGAACTGACAAAACTCCGGAGGTTGGAATTTCCAACGCAGTCGTAAAACGCTGTCGTCCTCTACTGGCTTGCGGCCGATAAAAACCTCCATCCGTCATCGGTTTGCTTATGTTTCACCTGTTTCACAATAATTGAGGGAAATATTAGAACCATTAACACAATACAAAGAGTGTGAGACTCGAAAACTACCTTTTCGGGAGCTGTGCACACTGCCCAGTGACCTGTGGAACGACTTGCTTATCAACTTATCCAGCGTAACTCGCTTAGACTTCTGATACTTCGCTGACAGAGTAAGAATTACCAAGTTTCTAGTTGTGCACAATTCCGCCATAAAGCGGGCCCTCCGATCTCAATAAGTGCCAAAACTGTGGTAGTGACTTTGACTACCAAGTGGGACACATGTGTACCACCAGTAGTCAAAGATTAACTTACGCAGGATGACTCGCTTTAGCTTCTGACGATTAACTGTCATAGTAAGAATTAGAAAGCTTCTATATGTGCACAATTCAGCCATCAAATGAGCGCTCCTGCCTCAATATTCTCCTGAAACTGTGGTAGTGTCTTTGACTACGAAGTGGGACACATGTGTCCCACCAGTAGTCAAAGGAGTAAACTCCGCAGGCTTCGTACAGGCCAAACCGTAGCCAAATCCTCAAGGTCGCACTACGATTCAAAATGCAAGCCGAATGCGTGGCGAACCCAAAACGGGACTGATCAACGATGAGGGTTTGTGCTTTACCCTTTTATATCTCCGAGACCGGCCAAAGACAATGCTTGATCTGGGTAATACAAAATTTACTCCACCTCATTATGATATCCTTCCGGGAGAGTGAATCAGAGCGCAAACTGATACTGCAAGGCCGAAGTGGTCCAGCCTAGGTACTACATATGTGGAATAATGATAGGCTTTATCAAAACATGGTCATACTTCAAGTCAAAATGAGCTGCTTTGACACTCGTGAGCACAACTCTTTTTTGAGCCTTTTGGCAATAGATTTTTGTCACATTTTATTAACCCTCAAACCAACATTTCTAAAAGCTTGAATGCTTCATGGAGGAGACATTGTAAAGACTTTCGAAGGAGGATGTATGTAAAAGACCTATCATTTAACGGGCTCTTCAGTGGTAACGGCCTTCTTCAGTATTGCTTTCTAGGGTTCCGGTAACGGGTGAAGCCGAGAAACCTGTGACAATCCACATCAATTCGACATCAGGTTGGACTATAAGACCTTCAGCCAACATTTTTTTGTACTTCTTTTTTTTAATTGCGGGTGAAAACTAATGACATTTGGTAACAAATTCGGGCTTGAACCTAACAATCATTTTTGTTAAATTTTGTGCCTTACGAGGTTGATCGGTGGAACATTTATTTCAATGGCCTAACGTTTCGACTGAATCGTCGTCTTCAGAGGCCTGAACGTGTTTCAAGCGTTAGACTTACGCTCTACACCACCAAGCGCCTCATCAACTCTAGCGGTTTCGACATCGTGTCAGAAACCCCTCGAGAAGATCAGAACAGCGCAAGAAATAAACTCACCGTCGGTTCCACCCTTCGAGCGGAAAAGTCCGCTGCCACACAGAGCGCTGATCAGTTAGAACTGAAGAATACCGCACTGTCTCTTGTTGAAAATAATAAAAAAAATAATTAATTAATTAAATGTTCTACAAATCACCTCGTCAGGCACAAAAAATTTAACAAACTTACAACTAACATGCCGATGTTGCAAGGAAGAGAGAAGTTGGAGAATCCCAACAATCTTGTCTACTACGAATACAGATTCCATGGTCGGCTACCAGCAACGTCTGAGCGTTTTGGACAATTGGCGGGCATAGAGGGTGAATATAAAAGTGATCAATTCGTGCGAACAAACAAAAATTAGAAACAAAATCAAAAATGGTAGAAGCGTTGCAAGACTTTTCCTCCAACCTAATATTCAGGCACACTCTGTCTCGCAACAAGGTATGGGGCGTGGCACACGATGATTCTCGATGGAAGGACGATATCATGTGGGCTTCAACACATTGGCGACAGTCTGACCAGGTTGCGCTTCCCACCCATTTCAACCCTTTCTCGCGAGCTTCCGCGGCTTCTACCCATATTGTTCTATGTTGAGCGCTCAATGCCGAAACATGGCCTATCACAACTGAGATGAAGTGACACTGGGATTATGCCCAGAGGAAGTTAAAAAAAAACGCCATGGGTAACAACAACTACCACATACCTACTGTCAGAGTTTCTTCCCAGCCTTAAAGACTAGTCCCCAGCAGGGTCAATCTCCAGTCGCCAGGGTGTCGCATCTTCGTGCCACATGGCTAGCGCGACACTCACGTGTCCTGCCACCTCACTCACCTCATATAGTTTTCCGACGACTCCACCGCAAAAACATACCCAAGAAAACGGTACTAAGGCATGGCAAAGTGAGGACAGCACCTTCCAACCACCACTGCGACTAGCACAGGCACAGTCAATGATTGAACGGCGCATCCCAAAGCCTCCAGGGGAATTTAGATGCTTTCAAGTAAGTGAGCCCCGCGCAATACCTGAGATGAAGCATTAGGGAAGAGAAGGGATTCTGGGAGAGCCTGTGAGCAATTTTTGTTCTCCCTATAGTCCCTGCCCTCTCTTGGGCATAGCCGTAGTGTCACCTACCAGCAGGATGCTCCGTTTGAATGATTCCCACCCAAGGACATGAGCGCTCAAAGTATGTATACATCCTTGTCACTTGCTGACCTCTGGATAGTCAAATGAGTGCCCTGCTGTGGAGCATGGCTCATCTAATAGTCAGAATAAAACAGGTTCTGTGGAATTTCCACTATTCTCACTGGCACCAGAAATACAGCAGTGCTCTATTCCAGAAGGAGACTCAGAATTCTTTAGAGAGTCTGTTCTCAAGCAAACATGCACCTCCGCTTGCACGTGTTTGAGGCATGACTTGCCATCCCGCACAAAACATCATTGGGGTTTGATCTGATCAGGATTGAACGAAAACCTTGCACAGCTTGAGCATAGCATATTAAGAGCAGTCATATGCATAGCGGTAGTCCCAATGTGGTAAGAAGCTGAGTGGTGTCACGCCCTTCAATTACCCGAGCTTCCCCAGTAATTACTCGATTAGATAAGGTAATGAATGATCGATTACAGCGTGTTTTCTTCAGGTAATAGGAAGGCTCCCTGCCGATGAAACGCATTAGATGATGTAACCTCTGTCGTCAGTTGACAGTAATTATGCTCTCCTTAATTGGCCACCTCCAATTCTCTGGCAAGAGGGCCACCTATTGTTGAACAGGGTAACTTCCACTGAAATCCCCCACAACGATTGTTCCTTACTTTAAGCCCTTATTCGCAATAGAACTTATAGATGCATGGCTCAGCGTCGACCACTCGACCTGACCGTCTTCAGAACAACTTCACATTTAAGAACGTAAATCTTATGTTGTCAAGGAAACGTGAATGTAACGGACAACGTTTGGATTTCCCAAGCTAGAGGCCCAACTTATACTAATCCCTCGCTCTCCTGTTATATCCCACGATTCTGAAACTATTACATATCATGCCGAGGTTCATACAGAGCCGTACATGGCAACTCCTCACAATTCTGTTGCCTGGGTACAAACACTTATTCTAACTTAGCCAGACTAATGACAGATGACTTTCGAGCATGAGCCTCATAGTGACGTTCTGACAGCAGGCACAATCCGGCTTCATCTGCAGCTCAACAGACATGTTTTAGTGTCACCTCCTCTCAAACAATTTTACACTGAAGGATGGGCCAATAATTAGCGAAGCTACGATTTGGCACCCCATTTCTTACGTAGAAGCTGAAATTTTTACACTTCATTGCAAATCGTCAACAAATTTCATCCATGGCGAATTCTGCTTGAGGGGATTTTCGCATGATTCGAAGACTATCACCATGATACACATTACAGCACTACGCAAAGTGAAACAAAATGGACAATTGTTGAAAGATTATGTTAAACACGACTGCTCAAAGAGCGTATTAGGGCCCATTTAAGCCATGGTCTCCTCGGGACTCATTGTGCCCAAGTTAGTTATAAGATTACACAGCAGGTACCTACAGACAGCTATGACTAATCAACCATCACCGAATTTTGGGAATCAAACGAAAGTGAAGGTGGCGACTATGGATGAGAGTAAACGGCGGATAGCCACGCTTCGCTGATCCATATCATCTACAATCACCACACTTCGGAATGCTAGTGCAATTATTACGAATGCATATGAATAAATAAATAAGAACACGTTCAGATTTGATTAACGTCAGATAAAAAACATCTTAAAAACACAAGTGAGCATAAAACTGACAACATTGATATAGCACAACTCATTCAAACCAGTTAAAAATAAAAGAGCCAAAGAGAAAAAAGAGAGAGCTCGCTCGAATTCCAACGCAGTTTGTTCAAGAAAATCAAGCCTAGATCAAAACGCAAATAATACTGACTAAATATTATGATGACTTTCACTGACAGAAAAAATATGATGCAAAAAACCAAGCATGATGACCTGCGTTGCAAATCCTATCACATATCGCCCTTAGAAAGATAAGCAAGAACGGGGTAGGAAGAAAGTAGGAAAAGAACAAGTAAACCAAAGCAAAGAAAAAGAGCTACACTCTGTATTATTGCCTTGTGCAAATTTCCTTCAAGTCTTCTACGGCCACATCAACCAGTTTTTGGTTCCCAGCTTTGCAACCAATGTTTACATTTTCGTCCTGTAATACTCCTCATTTACCTTCAAGATAACGCACTGAGCAATACAGAAACGGAATCATATAATAATTTTGCGAACATAAAACTATGACAAATATGTCAAACCGCTAAGCATACCGTTTTCTTAAGTAATATACAGACCGGATCACCAGCTGGGGTGGTTGCGTATAGTGAAGCTGCTGAGCCGACTTCCTCCACCACTGAAATGTGTAATAGTAGGACTTTTACCGAAATACTGCATTCCTTACCCGGCCAGTGCCTACGGGGATCAATACGGACACAACTGATTCACCGGCCAATTGTTTTTAAAAATCTGCTAGCGAGTACCCATGGAATTTCAACCATTACCAATTTTTTAAAATTATTTATATTTTGTAACAATAATAATTCAGTTTATAACATTAATAATTTATAACAAAAACAAGTCAAAATTCATTACCAAATTTGTTGAAAAGGATTACAATCTGCTCTGACTTCTATCTAATTTTGTTATACAGATTCCCCATCAAGAAACCATGGTTCGCTTTGTTTTTGTTAACTGTTATTTTAAGGCGGCAATTTGCATTGCGGAAGTTTCACAAGAATTGAACGAGATATGAGCAAAATCCTGCCCGAGCGGGACTGAATCCTGAGCCAGGCTTTTGCTCATAGCTCAGCACTCCTGTAACTAAAACTTTTGCTCATAACATAGCATTCTTGTGCAATAATTTGCATTTGCAGTCATCACTCACAACATCCCGGTGAGTGTCTTAAAACACAAAAAAATTATTAGATGAAAAATACAATCAAAGTCTTTCATAAAATAGTAATTACCAGTGGCTTACCGTGCAGATGACCGACGGAGGTTATCCTTGTGAGAAGATCACGGAAACTGCATTCGGATGCAAACTGTACTGACGCTGAATAATCTACATTTCCACCAGCGAGCAGTTGAGAGAATTCATTCCTGGAAATCGTTGTGATGGGTTCGTCGCAACTACCGGAAAACGAAGAAGGACTTACTTGGTAATTGCTGAGGCCATTAGCGAATCTGTACTTCTCAAAGGCAATTTGACGTAATCCTTGTAAACCTTCTCAAAGGCAATTTAAAATCAAGTTTCCCTGCCACGGAACCATCATTTTCCTGAAAAGCAGCGCTAAAGTAAGTCTCATGACACCAGTAAACGCTAGCTTTTCTCACCTCTGCAACGTAGGAAATGGTTCCCCGAAGTGTTTGTGAAACGATTTTTGACGCAACTGCCAAATGTAACCGCAGTTCACTGGGTTCGCCAGGTGACAAGCGCGTTGGCAATAAGAATCCAGGCTACAACAAAAGGATTTCGTTCAAGACTAAACGACATCCAGGAAATTGGCAAGAAAGACTATTACAATTACACCTACTTCACTTCTAACCATACGGGCATTGAGAGTATCCACGATATTCGCCTCGATATTTTTTAATTGTCGGCCTCCCACAACTGTCAACTCCAACTCTTACAATGATTTCTTCATCAGTTCCACCACTTGGTGATGAAGTATAATCCTGAATAGTTGCAAAATTAGTGAAAAATACGCCAAAAAAGCTGGGCTGCAGAGAGGGAAAATTCAAAAGTACAGTGAAAGGATACAAACTGATAAGTAGGCGAATCGGTAACAATTTAGTATATAAAACTAACATCATGAGTTGGCGAGCCATGATGCGTGAGGCGAAAAGTGGAAAGCATCGAAAAGAGAAGAATACACACGTAAGACTGCTTAATTAAACTTCAAATGCTGGTTCAGGTGTCGATAAAGTTTCAAAACTATCAAGCGAGAGGTTCCAGGTGAAAAAGAAAATTTGCCCTGAGACTTGTACCACCGAATCATTTTCAGAAAAAATGTGTACCTCAGCGTTGAACTACATTTAAATAATACAGCGACAAAAAGCTTCATAGAAAGCAAAATTTGGTCTCGTCAAAGTCTCCAACGAACGACTCACACTCAAAAACCGTCACACTACGCCTATGCATCCAGCGGATTCTAACATATCAAGGTCTATCTGGCTTAATTGATAGGACACATCACGCCGCCTGATTAGGCGGGTCTACGCAGTTGACGCCGTTGGAATAAGCTGAGTTCCAGCGGTGTATGTTGGAGTATGGTCTTCCACGTATCGAGTGCATCCTCTAATGCGAAGACCAGCCTAATCAGGAGGCGAGATATGCACTGTACACTACAGACCTCCAATTGCGGTGTCCGCACCCTTTGTTGGGTCTCAAGACTTCTATCAACCGTGAAGCTAGGCAATTCAGCGTTTTCGAACACTTTTTGAGAGTTCTCACAGATGCACGCTTTTAAAGCAACTCCGTCTTATTCATTTCCTCCAAAAGGCATTATCTTATACTAGCACAAAGAGTATGCTTGTTCTTCTAGACTCACACCCTTTAGTTGACCGATGCCGTGTAACCTTTCGTCCTATTTTCTTTAGAAATCGATAATCCATTCAAAATTTGTATTGAAAACCTCTTTCTAGGATCCCAAAACAAAGTAAAATAAGCAACACTTGAGGTATTGGGTGAGAAAAACTTCTGGACCATGAAAGTACTAAAAAAGCGAATGAGAAACGAATCTGTCCGTGAGTTCAAGGCACCACGCAGTAATGACAACGGTCTGCAACATGCTTAAGGCCCTGTTCAGAGATGTCCGCTTGCGCGAAAAAACGCATAGGCGAAACAATGTGAAATATGTATCGACTGAACGAAGACGCACAGGCGAATCGTGAAGTGGGAGGATCGACGAAAATGAGTATCATACGCATCGACTTACGAACGCTTCGCTCACGCGATTTTCCGCCTGTGCGTTTCTCACAGTCGATACATATCAAACTCTTGACTGAAATTCGCCTGCTCCGGACGTTTCGCTTACGCGTTTCACAATTTCTCAGTCGATGCGTATCTAAATCTTGGCGGAGATTTTCGCCTGTGCGTTTTTTCGCGCCGGCGGACATCTCTGAACAGGGCCTCACGCGATACGCGTTGTTTTAAGGAAAACCTTAGCAATTCTATTCAAAGAATCTTTTTGCCAATGTGAACACTGATTCTGGGAGAGCGTCCAAAAACAAAGATGGCGCATGTTTATTACAAACTGACGCTTACCTTGCAGATTCATCTGTGAAACAAATGGAAAAACGTGCTGCAGCGAAGCGATTTTCACTTGTAAATGTATGCTAATACTCAAAGGTACAATAAATTACTAATTGCTCGGAATGAACGCTCGAAAGATCATGAAAGCGAATAAAAAAAGTAGTCGACGAGAAGAGTAAACTCATAATTTTATCGACCCGGCGCCTAGAGTCATTTACGAGTCATAACAGACTATACTCGGGTACAATCTAGCTAAGCCGGGCCTGCTTTCTACCACCCTGAGATCCGAGTTCGAGCAAAGCCTACAGTTAATTGCTCCGCTGCTTGGGCCCATTCTCGGTGAGATTCCTCGGTCCAAATTTGGGTTCGACGGTGTGCAGACACCAGAGGCTTCCTTAAGAAGATGAACAATACAAGCGGAGCAGCAACTGCGATTTATGAATGTCGGCTTCTCAAAATTAAAGTATTAGTAATTAAGTAAAGTAAGTAAAGTACAAATTAAAGTACAAAGATTTTACGATGTTAACTTCCCAGGTCAATGTACCACTGCCTCCATATTTTATGACACTTTCCTCGACCCTTTTTTACTTAACCAAAAAATATTTTTTATAACTGTCCAAATGAAGAAACTCTGTGTCTGAAAAAGCATATGTCCCACCGTGTACAATGAGGAACAAGTTTCAAAAAGGAGAGAAAACCAGTCAAGAAAGCTTCGCGCATCCGTCTTTTTCTGTGGAAACCTTCAAGAAAGATTCAAGCAGCAGAGAAGAGAAACGCGCACGAAATATCAGGCTGGCAAACAATTGACAAAACAACTGAGATGTTTTCCAACGTCACTTAATCTTCCAATTTGTCTATGCATACGCACAGGGAACTATTACTGTTCACAGCCGTTGTACATCCATGGAATTCTAATCGAGGAATGGTTGGATGATGATTTGAGGTGTTGATTAGCGTACGATTTGTTACCAAGGCATTGGTCTAGAAAGGGTAATGGAAATGGATCGCAATTCGTTTGCTGAGGTCACGACTACTTGATGCATGATGTCGAACTGTATATTCACAATTTTCATTTCTTCGCGTTTTTTTTTTCGCAATGCGGGTCTTCTTGTTTTTTTCAATCTATGACGTAGAGAACAAGTTGTCGGACCAGGATTGACTGCGACGTAAGCAAACCAGCCCTTTTGGCGTTTCGGCTGGGACCGTATGCTGAATGTTGGGGAGGGGATGGGGTCCCCAACGGTCGACGGTTTACTTCAACTCGGTTGGTACGATAGGAGAGTACTGACGCAAGTGGTGCAGCTGGTCCAGCAGCTCCGCCAGAAGGGCTGGTTTGCTCACCCCAGGACTAAGCCTTGGAGAGGGGACGGACCCGTCCTCTCTTTAAGGCTTAGTTCTGAGGTAAGCACCAAATTGTGGCGGTTCTAAGGACCGAGTTGAAGTGGTCCGTCCACCGTCGGGGACTCCATCCCCTCCCCAACATTCAGCATACGGTCCCAGCCGAAGCGCCAAAAGGGCTGGTTTGCTTACGTCCGTTACTCGCATGAGCTGAATGTGCATAGGCAGACAGCTCATCTCTTATTCCACCAACAACTCAAGGAGACCTGATTGGAGCATCAAAGCTTCCGGGATGTCACGGCTAGGCTAAACAGGGAAAATGTGGTTAGCGCACCTCCAAGCGCCGTGGATAGTGATAGCATACCCTCGCCCACCTTTGACCTGTTAAATTTGGGCCAGCAGCGTTCAGACGTTCCAAATCGGTACCCATAAAGAATGATGCTCTAGAAGAGGATGAGAGCAATTGCATCGCAAACCATTCTTAGAAAATTAGGGTTTCCTTAGAGAACACTCATGCAATCAATGTAAGGAAGTGTTCCGGAAATTATTGACTGACGCAACACACTTATTTGAATTCTTCAGCAGCATGAACAAAGCCGAAAATAAGCTCACCTCGTACGCCTCCCTTGAGGCAGCAGCTTTCTTCTTCTTTTTGGTTTTCTTATCGACCTAAGTTACAGGTGGAAGCTAGTAAAGCGATTGGTACTGCTCAAAGGCTAACGGATAAGGGTGCTTACCTTAGAATCAACCAAATTGTTTGCTTCGTCATGCGTCTGAAGAGCAGGCGGTACTTCATCCTTCAACCATTCATCTATGTCAAACTCATTGTTTTTTGTTGCTCCCACTGCGGCCGTTGCCCTCTTCTTTTTCTTTCTGCGGACCCTTCAAAAAGAAGTTTGCTGCACTGTCTGAAAAGCCTTGAGTGAATCTAGTAACTTACCCATCCTCACCGCCTTTCTTTTCCTTTTTCTTCTTCTTGACTACATCACTGAAGTCCAGAGGCGTACGATTTTGATATGATGTCGCTGTAGGCGAACGTGGTACTAGTGCAGGTCGCGGAGCAGCACTTTGACGGTTATACACTTGCGGCCCCCGTACCACTTCATCTGGCCGAAGCGGTTCGTCCAAATTGATATCGAGTGCGCGGAACTCGTCTGACAGGCCTTGCTAAAATGTTATCATGTACTCAGCTTATCTCCGTGACTATACAATTTTCTCTGAAGCATCATAGGTATAAATAAGTCTTACAAAGTAGCTGAATCAAAAAAATCATAGAAATCTTTGTACTAGTTTGTAAAAATTCAACTCTGAATCATAGCCTTATAAAAAAATATGATTCGAAATATTACAGCATGAATGTCCTCCTCATCTGTCGTCTTTGCTCCTTCCGGCATTTCACCATCTGCGCGATTGACCTTAAATTACAATTACAAATTTGAGCAAAAGTAATGGAAGACTTGATTTGAAACAGTGCAAGATTTTTAATGGTGAAGGTTCGAAACCACCACACTAACCCGATGCACTACATTAACTTCTTCTTCACTTGAACTGCTGACACGTCTCTTCTTCTTGCTCTTTTTGTTCATCTTCTTTTTCTTTTTTGTGTCCTCTTTGGCTTCTTTCCATGTCAGTGTTGAATCCTGCTGTTCCATGTACCGCGACAAACCAACGACTCCTTAAACACGTCATGATAGATTCATAAGTCATTTCTGTGATAGCGCGTTTAGATACTCCGGTATTTGAAATCTTCGGGACTTGTCTACAAAAAGTGCTTATATTATATGTCTGTCAAATTGACTGAAGATTTAACAAACAGAAGATTTCAGATCGGCGATCATCTTCAATATCGTTTGCTTAACGAATAAAATGACTGGGTTCAAGACAACCGAAGATATCGAAATGCTAGGGATGAAAATAGGTTCAAACTACGCCATAACATGTTATAACATACAAAGAACTCATACACTAAGGGACGTGCTGACTCAATTTCAATGGCTCAAGCGAGGAAAACTGGATGAAGCGCTACGGAAGAGAAAAAAGCCAGAGGTGGCTTACCCAATCGCAAGGTGAATGTTAATTCGCAATTTGTCTAAACTGGCCCAGCGACTGCATATAAGCGAATAAGACTATCAAAGCGAAAATTCATATGACTTCGTGTAAGAGCTTCTCGTTATCTCGTTGACTGGGTGAGTAGATTAAAAAAACTCAGTTGCTTCTTCATGACTCGTTGGAACCCTTAATGTGAGCGCGTTAGAAAAAACACAACTTTGCGAATTCCATGACATATACATGAGTGACGGTTAATCTTAACGCTCGGGTAGCAGGAAATCGATAAAAAAGATATAATCACTTGCGTTGATACGATACCCTTTTTGGATCCGACTACAGTCTATTCCTTTTGTACTCAGCAGGGGCTTGACGCTACTTGAAAGCAGGTGCTATATAGACTGCGGGCCGCCGATTACAAGTCAGGTTTTATCTCAAAAATCTTGTACCAATAAACGACTCCCCCGGAGGGAGGAAGGTGTTTGGCTCGGAGCGACTCACGACGAGATTCTATTCCTGGACGGCTCGCTGTAGCGGAGCGTGTACTTGCACTAGCAATTCCGCCGGAAATTGGAAATTTCTATTATACGAGATAAAAACCACCTGGAATCTCTTAGAAACATCTGGATGAGCGTGAGAATCCTAAAAAGTTGGAAGCAGACCGTAATATGGAATGTGGCGAAATGCAAATGACCTCCTCTCTCCACCTCCACCCATGACTTTTAAAGGTGAAGGATTGTTTTTTCCATACGTAATGATTGACCATTGTGACAGAACCTCAGAGGCTACGCCTTTTCCGCAATTCATGCCTTACATTTCGTACCACGTTTGCGTCATGTCCCTACTTCCCTATCAAACCACGTGTCATATTGGTAAGGATCAACAGCCTGGGTGCGTATCTTCTCCGATTATGATTGTACAGTGCCATAATCAACTGCAAAAGGGGCTTTGCTTTCTTTTGCCTCTTTTACATTTTTTTTCACTGGAGAACCGTAGAACGTACAAATTGATATTTCGTATCCTATAACCTCCTTCAATGAAATTAGCCTTCAAAAATCCCACCTTCCCTACACTCTAAGTGGAAGTCGCGACTTCCACTTAGAGTGTAGGGAAGGTGGAAGGGGGACAATTTGTAGATGAACCTATGCTCTTCATAAACGCATGAGACTCGTAGAGATCGACCCACCTGGAATCTCCAAGGGGCTTTGAATCTCGACTTTGTCCATGTCGTTTGAGTGCAGAGACTCGAGTGCAACGAAACGTGTTGGACGTTTAGGCGCAGTCGCTGACCCTTTTACATAGTATGGATTACTCTCTCGCTCAGCTTCACGAGCTTTGCGCCGCCGCTCAATCTCTTCTGGGCTCAAATCTTTCACCTCCTAAAATTGCTCAGTTACAACATTTCATGCAAGAAGAAACACTAAAAGCCCAATACAATCATCCCCATAATCCTAATCAGCACAGAACAAAATACCTTCTTTTTGTTTTTCCTTGGTTTCTCGCCAAGCTTCGGTTCATCTTCATATTGAGGAACAACGCCAAAACTGGTGAATTCGCTTCGAATTCGAGGAACAGGCTGAAAGAACACAATGTATGTTACTACAAAGCAGTTTGGTCCCGCACACCAAGCGTCCCACGGGGCTGTAGCCATACTGAACAGTAATCGGAATTTCAACCTTAACCCCAGTGTACTCCTAGCCCACTGCGAGCGAGCGTTTCCCTTTACCTTCTTGCTTGCCTCTATGTTTTTTGTGAACGCAGACCCGACATTGCACTCACAATAATGGCAAAAAACAGCAGTTTGACTCCTACCTGTCCAAATGTAGCGTCGACATCACTCTCCTCGCTAGACTCCGGTGTATCCTGCCACTCTTCACCTATCCATTGGTCTAGATCCAGGCTGAAATTTTTCAGACTTCTAAGGCCTCAGTACAAAAACTCCTGATCATGATAATTAATCTGTAGTTCGGAGATAAAACAAATTGGTAAAAAAGTTCGAATTTTGTGCATACCTACCCGTCTGGCACTGGTACTTTCCGTTGGGCCTTCGCTGCGACCGGATTAAGCTCTCCCTCATACAGTCGTGCTACATCAGCGGCGATCTTTTCCCGACGCGAATGTGCTGCTTCGATAACGCGCAGTAAAGCCATCAGAGTACAGGCCTAAAAGCTCACGCAGATTCGAATTTTCATTGTATCCATGAGAACAAATTCAAAGCACTACTTGTAAGAACGATTCAGGACAAAATTTGAAATGGATTCAGGATTTGAGAAGAATATCGGGATAAGCTTTTATTTTAACGCACAGACGGCAACCGTTCTCGAGACGACACTATACCTTCACATTTTTTTCATGATCAATCACCTCCTCTTCATAGGTTCACTATTGAAAACGAATATATTTCTCTGAATCCGATAAAGCAAAATACTGTTTTCAAAGATGATAAAATCCAGAAGTGAAGAAAAACGAGACCCTACGCACAAAAGCGCGACGCTTAAATGTAAGGTCAATTTGTTCGACGACGCACTTGGATCACCTACTTTGATACTCCACCACAAAACTGGGGAGGCTCAAAGATCTATCTGCTGCAATGGCGCATTCACCAGTTGGCATTCATTATTGCTGGAAGGAGCTACCATAAGTTGACAAGAGAACTAAATATTAAGGCACCCGAGAACAATACAGATATAAATGCTAATAACTTAGAACCACAGCACCGCACAACAACGTTTTTACAAACAGACTGATCCGTCTAGAGGTTCTCGGATTTGGCAAATACAAATTGAATATACCCATCTCACCCTTCTATTTGTTAAAGCAACAGTCCAGGCAGGGTTTCAACTACTTGGTCATTAGGCGGTCAAAACATGCCCCAGCCCAACTAAAGTTTATAGGAAATGTCTTTAATTTCAAAACCTACCTCTAAAATGCGCTGGAAGGGGTCGAAGTCCTCTTGGAGGGGGCGGATCACCCATAAAGAGGCGGATCGCCCAACATACGCTGTGCAGAGCGCTTGCTCGACTAGCGGTCGTTGCGGGACCGCCGCGCTGTATGAGGTCGATTCCATAAGAACGCAATTGAAGCGCTTCAATTTCGATTGCTGGCAAATAGTTATGTATTTGCAAGCATGCATGGCTATTTGCCAGCAGTCAACTGGAGCGCATGTACTACGGGCAGGTTCGGACAACTCGTCCAACACACATCTCCCTAAACGGCCGGGGGAGTCCCTGTCTAAGCCCCTGCCCGACGTTTTTTTCTACTTTTTCTATCTCCATTGACCAACTTCTCACCTGCAACGTCATTATAGGTGGTCCTTACCCGCGAATTCGTTCCTGGATTGTTGCTTTAAGATTAACCATAACGACACGGCGATGTTTCTAGCAATCTTATATACCCATATATACTCTCAGCAATGTGGAATAACATATCTTCCCAGGACCTGGACGGCTGGCATTTTTGACAAACCTACAATAAATTTTGTTTAATTTTATGCTTTAGTTAGTTTTAGCGGAAAGGCGGGCTACGAACTTGTCGTCAACGGAAATCTCTTTTTTCGGATGATGAGACTCCGACACCTACTTTAGCCCCGTCTTACCCCTGCTGTTCACATAAGCCTACATAAACCCTACCCTGGGTGGCGGCGTGCGCCACATGGTGGCGCACGCAAATACGCAACAAATACACTGGCCGTCCGTTATGGGTTAATGAGAATCAGGGTCATGGAATTTTAATGAACATTTATGTGATATAATATTTATGTTCAATAAGATGGATATTTCATTCATATTTAGGAGGTATTGCAGCAAATAAGCTTCGTAAAGGGTGCCAACTTTAAACATTGACGACACGTCGCTCATGGACCTCGATGTCATTTTTTAATAATTTTGAAGCAGTCAATTTCTTCTTCAATAATTTCGTGACTGGTGATGAATATGCTGTTCACGATCCGGTGACGTATGTAAATGTTCTGGTACACAAAAAATGCCAAATTAATCGAGCAAAGTGAGCGAGGGTCATGTTACAATGTGGCGAGCAGCATACCATCGCATGTGTTATAAGCGATAGAGACAATGGCGCAAACGGAACAGGTGGATGTGAGTTTAAGGGCAACTGCACGCAATCAAAGACACCTCGTCACACTTCCTCAGTCCCTATATCGCCTGTGAAGTTTAGAGGACTTGCCACTGCAAAACACGCCGGCCATGAAGGGTTTACGCGCTAAGGATTCAGCTCTTTCGCAAGCAGCAGGGCGCGAAGTGTCGATGTGATCGCAGTCGCATAACGCACCTAATGTTGTGCGACACTTGCGATCGTTGCTAGTTCTCGACGACTATGCGCCCGGCCTAGTTAGTGCTATGGGCACCATTGCCGACTGGTGCAGGTAAGAGACCTGGATTCCACTCAAAGTCACCCAGGTTCCGAGAGATTTTTCCTTGGTTCCTCGTTAACGGATCAGCCGTGCTAATTTTTCCTCGTGCTGGTGCTATCCCTTTGAATACAGGAAGGAGGGTTATAGGGAGTCCTTCTATACTGTAGTTTTAATAGTTCCGTAAGAGAATAGGGCTACCGTCCTCATTGACTAACCACAGTGTTTTCTATTGTTAGTTTCTTTATGGGCGCGTCAGCTGCACGCATGAATGAATAAATAAGATAAAATAAATTAAATAAAATACCCGGAAGAAATACTTCACTATTAGGCTGAAATGCAAATTGGAGGACTGCAACAGAGATTTTATTACGGGACAAGGCACTCTGCAGCTGTTGAGTTCTGCATCCAGTGATAGAGGACACTAATTTTGAGAGAGCCAAATATCATAAAACGGATCTTCTGCGTTCCAAAACAATAAGCCTTGGATGCAGTGTCCGATACAAGATTTCAAACAACTCTTTTGACTAAAAAATTACAAATTCACAGAAGCATTCACTTAGTGAATATTTGCCGATGCGCCAACAATACTATGTTTAATCAAATGTTAATTCCGAGAAAACTGGTTCGATCGCTGCTATTCCACACGGACACAATCAAGCACAATTCTCACCCTTTCCTGTGCCTCAGGTGCCTCAGCCGCTCAAAGGCCGGCATTCGACAGCCTCGATTTCCGTGATCAATAGCATCCCGTATCTTCCTAGAAAAAACAAAACGAATTGGCAGGCTACCCATTACCTTTTCTGCTTTGGAGAGTAGTGTACTGTACAACTTTCCAATGTTCTGCACATACACTGACAATATATGACCAGACATCACCGAGGTTCGTGCACGTAGCATAGACTCCAGGACAGACGAAATATTTCGAACGTGCCTGATTAAGAAATAGGTGATGAAAATGTATTCCAGGTTACAAATCTGATGGACTCACTGGCTATATTCCCCGCAAATCCAGGCGGCTGCCAGCAACACCTCACAAATATTACTTCGCTGCTGAGCACTCCCTGCCAGTAAGATGTGGGCATTTTCAACCTAAAAGGAATACACTAATGCAGAGTTGCGAATCGACAGGATCATAACACTGCTTACCAACAGAGCCATTTGGGACACAGAGAAATGTCGTATGGATTCTACACGCACAGTGACATCTTGGATCTGAAGGCATAAAAGATGTAAAAAATCCGAAATGCTTTTTATTCACAATCATATGTCTCACCGACAGTTCATTCTTGCCCCAAAACATGAGAGTCACATAACTATGAAACGTTGTTGGTAATGCTAGATCTCACATGACGACAGCATGACGCGCGAGCGCGCGTTTCAGATTTTCGCGCGAATGAGCATGGTTTTTCCGATTAAAGTGGTATTTGTTTTAAAAAAAAGTTCCGTCTACATCAGTAAATCCAGAAAATATTATACCCATTACCAGTAACGAAATTACTGAAAGAGAAATGCTGGTTATGGAAAATAACAAAAAAAGGAGATGCCGAGAAGCAAACACAACGGGCTGTCAACGATGTGTCAGTCAGCTAAAACACAAGCAGAACTTTTGTTGAGTTCCTCGCAAACCTTGAATTCAATAAGTTTGAAAACGCACTCCAAATTAATTCTTTCAGGGGTCCTCACAACTTAATCCAAGATTCTCCGAGAAAAAAATGGGACCACCCTTAGCCAGAGGCCAGAAACCATTATGAAAACGCTGCTTCACATCGTCAACGTACATAAAGTTACGTATCACTTCAAATTTCCCCCAAAAGAAAACAATCGACATAGGAAACAGTACCTGCTCAGCGATTTTCGCCCCATGTTTCGTTCCCTCCACTTTCGTCAGTTCCACCAACACGGAGATGTACCTATGAACATGACATTTTAGATTTGGCCTTCACTGACCAAAAATTAGCCAAATGCTGACAAGAATTTGTTAAAATCACCAAACACCCTAGAACATTTCTTTCACCACAGAAACTAGCCGGCTGCAGCGTCTGCTAACATGCATGCAGTTCTTCTATAAACCTATGCGCACGCAAATATCAACCGGATTCAAACCCATTGATGAAAAACAGACCAAAAATTGCATTTGGATTGACTAGCGGCTGCTGCCAACATTCTAAATGGAAAAGAGCATGCACGAAGACTCACCATTCAAAGTTTGTGATAAACTGGTAGTTGTTATAACAGCAAATACCGATTATGCGCGACAGAAGCTCGTCCCTAAACATGAACGAAAAATTTAAAATGAATGACAAATAGGACAATAAAAAAGAAAATGAAACCTGTAATGAGATCCTTCTGCAGACTCCACATGCTCCATAAGTTTCTTTACGATTTCCATGATGTTTTTCTTTGACACCATTCCGTAGAGAAGATCCAAAGACCTGCAATTACAAGAAACTCTGAACAGCGCAAGATTCTGCAAATCGCATTATAACCAAATCAATCGCTTAAGGTTGAAAAAGAAATAAATAGTCGTTTTACCTTATTCGTATACTCTCATCTTTATCGTCCAGACACCTTAGCACTATATCTTTATGAGCTTGAACAGCCTTCGGATGGGTCTGTAGGATCTTTCCCATTGCTAGCAACCCAAGATACTTGAGATTTTGATCGGAATCTTCGATCAAAACTCCGAGTTTTTGAACGCATAGCTGCAAATGGAAAGCAGATTAAGTAAGGGTACTATCGAAGCGAACATGAAGAATGTTTACAAAATGGACCTGTATGCTGGCCGCATGATCACCACCGGCCGATATGCTGATTAAAACTGAAAACGCTGATGGCAATTAATCTTTCCAGAATCAGAAAACTTTACTTTAGAAACCTTCACCTACCGGCAATGACGGTGTTGATGCACTCATACAGCAGAGACATCGCGGAGGTACTAAAAACAGAACGTGAATAGAATTACGAGAAGTTACATAAATACAAGATTGACGTAATCAACTAACTTATCGTTAAAAAATCAAACGCCTAAAATTGGATTACCGACTTTAGAAGAAAAGAAACATTGCAAGTTGAATACATGTTTGGTTTTGCTAATACTATTTAGCAGAACGTTTAAATTTGGAAAAAGAAAACGCAAAAACCCACGCACAAGATCACGAAGATTTTGCAATGAGAACTACTATTAAGACTGACAAAAAGATTACTGTTTTAAGAGAACTTCAATCAATGAAAATCTGTTGATTTTATTCAGAACTTGGGTATTTCAGCTCTATGTTCGGCTATTCATGCAATCAGTATACTTTGCATTTCCCCAAACACCGGCGAAAAACAAACATTCACACATGCCAACGTCAATCGTCGGATGCCAACGTCCGTCAATCTCAGTTATACGCAGATGACATATCAAAATTGTCGAAATACAGAAGATGTATGGCAATTTTTAAGCACTCTGCAATTTTATTTTAAGCAAACCTCACCTATTAATAAGGTTCGTGAGCGGCTCGAGAAGTTTCTTGCCCAATCGTGGCTCAAGAGGCACTAGTGCTCCGAACTAGAAAGTTTTTAGTTAATTCACAACTAATTTCATCCGACATAAAGCAAAACATAAAAAGCGAACAATGAGTGGATTCAAAATCATTTGCACGGCGCAAACATTAAGCAGACTTGGCGTTCACAAAGGCTAATTAATTCAGTTTGATTATGTTAACACAATAAGCATACCGCTACAATTTCTCCTATCATTTGGGCCATGTGAAAGTATTAAGCACCGTAATTTTGCAGAATAGCTCATCAAGTCTAGAAACTCGGGCAAGTTAGAAATGTAATGGTTTGAAAGTGGTTCTTAATTTTCGGAGCAACCGTCAATATGTGACTTATAAGTCGAAGGTCAGTATCTATACTGACTGTCTACTGACTTTCACACCACAATCTTCAAGGGTCGTGGTGCAACATAAAGTTGTAGCCCGGAAAAGAAGCTATTCACTACTATACCCCAACCCCCCCCCCCTCCGCTTCGTTGTATCAACAATCAGACAAGTAGATAGCAAGCAAAACGGCGAAGAAAAAAAAAACAAACCAGCTTAATGATTTTGATCAGCATCCAATTGTTGCTCGACGTTGTCATTAGTTTGAAAAATACCGGCGCAAGCGTCAGATAATTCTTTGGATTTTTGCGAGCTAGTTCACATATGACGTTGACAGCGGCACTTTGAACACCTGAAAAGATTCACTCAATATTACGAAATGTAAGACTTGCAATCAAGTAAGCCCAGATAACTAATCCCCAACTCTCGGCTTGAACTCACCGGGATCAGGATCTTCGAGTTTGTCCTTCAACCGCTGGAATGTCGGCCGCAATGCCTCTGGGTATTTCAAAAATATTTTATACAACAGGAGAACGGCTCGTTTTCGAGTGTATGGGCGTGACGAAGAAGCTAAA